AGTGATGGTGACAGGCAGTTGCTGCTTTCTGCAGGGAGAAGACCATAAGCTGAGGGATCAACGGTTAGATGATCGCTTAGCTCTCTGTATATAGAGGCAGCATGTGACGGATGCAGTGTTCAACGCCAGCACTAAGTATTGGGAAGAATATATTTTACTCTCCCAATACTTCTCCTTTAATTAAGTGTCAGTTTTGCATAAAGTCACAGGACAGAAAATGTTTTGACTAAGCCCAATTTCAGCCAAACCTTTTGTTTTATTGATACACTGGGGAGTGGGGAATAGATGGGTCCCTAACAGAGGTTGGCTGCCTCATTGGAGAGATTTCCCCTCACTTCCTGTCAGTGAGGGGAAATCTCTCTCTAGCCAACAGGTTTGGAATCTTTTAAATGTGGACCCAGCAAACAAATATTTTTAAGTAACGTAGAGAAGGGTGACAACCTCTGTCACCTTATTATTACTAACTGTGCCCTCCTGTCTTAGTGACAACCACTTCCCTCATTTCTTGTCCTGCAGGATTGCTGACAGCAGAAGAAAAAAAAACGTATGCGATAAGCATTTACTATTCCCACGTCTATTCAAAACTAACATTTTTTTTTAACTGAAGTTAGGCTTTTTACTGTTAATGAAGATTAAACGCTGAATACTCATAGAAAACTGGCAGAGCTGCATGGTAGTTCAGTTTCAAGAGAGATCTTGTAGACAATTAAAATCATGGTTTCATAATAGCTGATTGAAGATAGTAAGAAACATGCTTTATCCTGTTAATATACAGTAATGAGTTATTTGTAGAGGGTCACTCAAAAGCAGATATTTCAGTTTTTCGTGGATGCTAGAGAGTTAAGCAACCTTACAGTCCTTTCTGCTTGGGGAATTTAGTGCTGAGTTTTCCATGCTTGAGTTTCCGGGCCTGCTGTGGCCACTAATAGGAAGATCCTACTCTGCTTACTTGATTTGTTTTTTTATTATATTTTATAGACATATAAAAGACATATAAAAGGCAGGGACTGAATCTGCCCGCCAATAAATCAAATATCATTTTTAGGTGGTTTTATTACTGACTGTGTCATTTATCGGTACAAGTATCCATAAAATCAATTACTGGTCCATTTCTGGTGGTTTGTTAATTGTGTTAGTAACTTATGTATTTTATTTTACCACCAGCCGCAGTTATGTCTTCTCTTCATTGGCAACGTCAACAGTGTCCTTTGCAACGGGGGCTCTGGGAATGTGGATTCCCCTCTATCTGTACAGAGCCCAAGTGGTGCAGAAAACAGTGGAGCCTTGCAATTTTGGAGCTTGCAGCACCAAAGACAGGTCAATACTGCAGCGTATTTGAATGAGTTAGAATTGCAGTTAACAATGTCTTCATTGGAAGAAAAAATAAATACATATTTCTGTTTTTAAACAGCCTGATTTTTGGAGCAATCACCTGTATCACTGGCTTTCTTGGCGTAATAATGGGGGCTGGAGCTACTAAGTGGTGCCGTTTGAAAACACAACGTGCTGACCCACTTGTCTGTGCAGTTGGCATGCTGGGATCAGCTATCTTCATTTGCTTGGTCTTCGTCGCTGCCAAAAGTAGCAGTGTAGCTGCATATGTAAGTCACAGTACAGGGAAAAATCTTCTCTCTTATGTATCTCTACTGTTAAAAAATATTTCTACCCAGTGCGGCTGAAACAATCCTTCTGTGCAGCTCAGCTGGTATCCAGATTGCACATGATCTGCAAGTGTCATATTGCTGGTAAAGAACTAGTTCTACCCACCCTGGCACTAATAACAACCTTGGCTTACTGCAATATCCATGTTCATACACACAAAATTCAGAAAGCTTTTTTTTTTTTGTGTGTGTGAAAGAATATACTGTATGAATAATGCAGTAATTCACTAAAGAACATCACCAGGGAAATTTAGTAATAATTCAAGTATGTATTTTTTTCAAAAGTCATTAAATAATTTTTCAATCTATTTAGTTAATTTAACTGAAATCCATCTTTGTACAGAGTTATTAAACATAGTCAAAATCAATCTTGCAGTTGTAGTAATTGCTCTGTAAGCTGCTGTGTACGAAAAATAGGTATTTAGCTGATTTAGATGAGAGACAAGAGCTCAGGGTAATCAGCTGCATCATTTTGTTTTTAGTTTGGAGTACCAAGATCAGGCAGGAGGCTGGGTACATATAAGCACCTACTGAATTGTAGACTTCATAAAGTTTTGTCATCAACCTTCCTTATGCAGCTCATGAGTGTGTGGAGAGGATCACAAGAGAATGTGAAGTAATTTACATTTTTAAGTCACAACAATTATGTTATATGTTTCAGCTGCACATTTAGGCGTTTTAAGAGGGGTTTCTAAGGAACTGCTGAAACCTTTATGAAAACCCCTATTTGAACCACCATTAGGACTTGAAAAATCAATAGCCCTGATAAAAGCTGGAAGGAGTTGATGCAGAAGCCAACATAAGTACCCATAGCCAATGTACACCTGTTTTTATATATAACATAGTCATAATAGTTAAAGTGACACTAAAATGATGAGTTAAATCTTACAAATTCATTCAATACCTTAAATATCACAAAATCTATTTTTTTTGTGCATCACAAAGCTGTAGATCAATTAAATTCATTTTGGGCGTATGCAAGTATTGGAATAGTAATTCTCTAAAGTGACACTAAACTCAGGAGTTAAATCTTAAAAATGCATTTAGGTACGCTAACTATTAACTAAAATGTATCTTATTTGTGTATCACTCTGCTGTAGATCCTCAAATCATCTCTGAATTGGTGCTGACACTGTCCTTCCTTCTGGAGGGTGGTTACTTTTGTTCCCCATGTTTTCTAGTGTGTGTTGTCAAGTAGCCACCACTCCAAGCTTGCTTCTGTGATGGACGGCAATCTCAATACAAATTAGCTAACTAAACATGAGATTGTAGTCCAAGCTTGAATCTGTGGCTGCTTTACAACACACACACAAGGACCATTGGGAACAAAAGTAGCCACCCTCCAGAAGGAAGGCCAGTGTCAGCACCAATTCAGAGATTATTTGAATTCCCTTTAAAGAATTACTATTTCAATACTTGCATATGCCCAAAATGAATTTAATGTGGTCAAACTCCAACACTAGAGACATAGAGGGTATGGCCCCATTCAAGTCTATATGGAGTCACTAAACAGGGGCAGCCAGTGCCAGATGAGATTTCAGGCCAAATAAGGTCGACACCAGAGAGGTAAATAACCATCTGGATGGGGGGTGTCTGGGTTAGATTAGGTTGAGTGTGTAGGGAAGGTAGACTAATGGGTTTTCAATTATAACTGAACTTCTCCCAAATTATATGTTCACCACATCAGTAGTCCAACTGAAAAACAAATCTGTTGTTCTGTATTAAGATCCCATTGATAATCCAGTGTTTGCTATAAATACGTGGCATTCACAGTAACATTAACACCGCTGTATACTTGACAATAAGAGGTTATTTTGAATTGAAAACGTAATGTTACAAAATAAGATCAGGAAATGAGGTGGTACTGTTCAGTGCTTTTTCTGTAAAGCAGTTTTCTCCTAGAGCAGTGGAAGGTTTTATCACAACAAAAAATATTTTATGACAGCAGTTTTTCTTTTTTATGGACCAAGGAGCAGGAAAATGTTTGCTGTGGGGCACTTGAAACACATTTAGATTGTTGCGATGCAGTGCTGTCAACCCTGTTAGCAAAAGTGATCTAGGGACTTCTCTGGACAGCACTGTATGATAATTTTTACAAGCTATTTAGGCTAAAGGACATAATGCAGGCCTTAAGCCAACTAGACAGCTATCATTTGCAACCTGCACATTTGGTAGTGTATCTAGAAGCAAAATCTTTTTGTATTGACTTTGTATTTTACATTTTAGCTGTAACTTGACCACCTCTTGACAATTGTTTGTAGTTGCTGTAGCAGAGTTAAAGGAGAAAGGGTGTTCAGGGGCTAATAAGAAAAGTCACAAGACTTATTGTAGCTCAAGTATCATGAAGCCATTACTTATTTTTCTGCTGGGCTTAGCAATACCAACAGCTTGCTACATTAAGTATTATTTTCTGGTCTTCATTTTCACTTTGATAATCATGTGACACAGTTTTGGGGCATCACTAGTGCCAAAGTACAACCCTTGCAATATATCAGTGTTTTAAAGACCATAGAACTGATGTGTGTGCCCATATTGTGTGCTAAACCGAAAATACATTTGTTGGTCATACAGAGGATCTATGGCTGGATCATTTACTGACAGGCAACCTTTACTGTATTTGTCCAGTTTGCTTCATATTCAATATTGTGTGAACAAACATGTGTGTGCAATCTAACCCACCTAAGAATTTACTTGAAGCATAAAACCATATTGTTCTTCAAAGCTATGAAATACAATAAAACCAATCCAAATATACAGAGAGCTAGTAAAGGAAAACAATGGCTGGAAAGACTGTGTTACTATTTGTGCAGATTAACATTATGGCTATGAACTTTCTATTACAAATGTTAACCACATACATCTAAGCAAATGACAATACATCAAAAAAAACACGAGCACTTCCAATGTGATCATCTGCAATACATAGCTATGATGTATTGTCATTTCTACCTTTTCAAATGTGAAAAGGTAGAAATGGTATTAATGCTGTATTCTGTATACCTGTTATATCCTTTGTAGCATAGGTAGCAAGTGATGTTCTGTATGGCCAAATCTGTAAAGGTTTATGAAGCCCAAGTCAGATCTGTCAGCCTAACATTAGATCTGAACTCAAGATAAACAACGATATACACAGTTAAAATGCATATATGTGGACTATTTTATCCACAAAGATTTGTTATTTTATTCAGTCAGTTTCCTGATCCAGGACTCCTCCAACAGCATAGCCAGGTCCTCAATCTCCCCTGTAGACTAGACTGTATTTAATCACTAGCGCACCTTTCTCACGCAGTTGCTGTGCAGGCATTACAGGGGGCAGACATTAACACAGATTCAGGTTCTTCTGTTTATTGCATGTATACTTAGATTAAATGTTGCTTTATATAGCTACCTGGAATTTAGCTGTAATATATAAGACTATTTTAATGTCTGATTTTAATCTCTCTCTCTCTCTTTTGAACTTTTTAAATCAGTATGTTTTCAGCAAGCTCTTTCGTATTATTTATAACACAAATCTATAATTTTTTTTACTTATTCCAGATTTGCATATTCGCTGGCGAAACTTTGCTTTTCTCCAACTGGGCCATCACTGCTGATATGTTAATGGTGAGTCTCATGGATATTTGGCTCATAAAAGATTTTGATCATACATGCTTAAGACGAAATCTGAGAGATAAGTGGATCATACATCTATATGTCTTTCACATACACTTATACAAGTTAAATGACTACATTGCTGACTTGTGAATAATCAGCCCATACACTTGGCTTGTCGTTAATTGTCTAATATTAATTCATACTCAGTTTAGTAGTTAATAATAGGTTATACTATAAGTAATTATTACTTTTGGAATGAGTGTACTCCAGTTAATATTTTATTCAGCATTTTAGTGTTAGGCTGAAACTGAAATCAAGGACTGGGATAGGAAATATGTTTGCCATTAATCATGAATCTAATTATGTCATAAAATGAATGACAAATGTATTTGTTCCTAATTTGGTTTTCTAGTCAGTTTTATAGTGTAGTCAGTGCTTTCAGATCCAACAACCTGTACCTTGCTCCATGCAGCCAGAAAATTGCATTTGATGTTAGAGTTTTATACTTGGTTGGTGATGATGAGAAACATTACCTTGATCTTAAAAGCTTTCAGTGGATTTTTTGTACTGGAAACCTTGCTTGTCATGTTTTATTATTACTGCACCAACTATAAACTTTCTTTCTTTACATTTTTCTGGTGCATCTTAGTTTGATGAATAATAAACTTTGACAGCAAGGTTTTCCAAATGGGCAAAGTCAAGTAAATTGTGGTTAGTGTGCCCTTCTTGATAGATTTTCTTCAATCAACTTGTACTATCCATATATTACTTGAGTAGACTGCCTATAGTTTTACAAGCTACAAATGACATGGGCAAGCCTTCACTTGTTTTTAACACGTGACAATTGAAATTCTTGTATTTTATTTTGTAATCTGCCCAGAAAAATGACAGCTGGAATCTGATTAATTGGTAAGATCCAACCTGACACTACTTCATCCAGTTTTTATGAAATATGCCAACGTATGAGAGCAATGGATGTTGCAATTAAGTCATTGCTATGTCACATCTTAAAGCTATTTTTAACTTTTCTGTGAAGATGTACTTTATCATGTTAAGTTAAATGCTGTACAACCAGTTCATAGAATATTAATGTGGTTGCACCAATATGTACCTTATAACCTCCTAGTAAATTAACAATGTGTGATTATATGTGTTGCTATGCACATAAATTAGTCATTAAGCATTAAACCATTTAATTTATCTGAGCGAATCAGATACTTGCCTTATTTTTGTCCTTTAGTCACATTTCTCAACAATTAGCATCAAGATTATCATTCCTGATCCATTGTTTCAATGCATCCAGCTCTTGCATTGGAATGTGTTTCTCCATGTTTGACCTTGCCAAGGAATGAAACAATCTTGACCATCATCTACTACAACCTTAGGAATTTCCTTTTGAACTTTTTAAAGTAAACCAAACACTTTGGCCCTGAATACTTTCTTTTAAACAGGAAGTTCCTTGAATGTTGTGTTCTTTATTGATATGTCAAGATATCGCCAGTCAGTCAGTAGCACAATGTTGTTTTCTCCAGCCCCATGCACTCAGGGTAATGTTGTAGATAAGCCATACAATTCCTGGTAGGCTCTCCTTGCTCACATACACATTACTACTATAATTATGTGATCTTATCACTCCCCAATACCCCAAATTACTCTGACTTTTCCACCAGAGAAAAAAATGATTGGATGTCTTTTGTTTCATGGACAGTTGTCTAAAAAATCCAATTGTAAATGAAAGTTCTTTCGTTCATCTTTGGTTTTTAATTTGTTGTTTTAAACTTTGGGATTAGGATAAAAATGTTATAAAGTTGACCTATACTAAAATGTTAGCATAAATGCTAGCAGTCATTCCGGGATGAAAAGATGAAGGGTAACTGAAGTATTTATTTGACCTTGAGAAAGCACTTTTCCAGGTTTACATTTCCAAAGGCCTAGGCACTTGGTCACATAATCACTGCTGCAGGAGAGGTATTAACCAGTCTAGGCTGAAATCTAGTGCAACAATTAGAAAAGTTCCCTGAGGATACAGCCTTTCCATAGGAATAGCCCCTTTATCATTTTACAGCTTACCTAATATGTACCCAATGTACTATTGTGTTCAGTCAAGTCAATGACTGAACATCAGGGTTACATTGATGTATTTCAGTGGCTTTACATAACAGTCAGCCTAGCCATGTATCAATCTATGTGTGTATATGTATAGATCATTCTACTTTTCATATACATACAAATATTTCTAGGTAAGCAAAATGTAACAATATATAGAAATAATATTAGAAAATGAATGTGTAACACTAATATTTTAATTTATTATTTTGGTGATGTTCTGTATAATTATCTCGGTTGCCTTTTGTTTTGTGCAGTATGTAGTTATTCCAACACGTCGTGCAACTGCTGTGGCCTTGCAGAGCTTTACATCTCACCTCCTTGGAGATGCTGGCAGCCCATACCTTATTGGATTTGTAAGTAGAAAGTTGTACTGGCTAGCAAAACCATTGTGTCCCAATCTAGAATCAGGCTCTGAGTCCAGTAGCTGAAACAGCAGACAAATTTGTGGTAAAACAGGCTGTGTTTGTACACAAACAGATGGTAGTAGTATAGGAGCAGGTAGAAGCGTAGTTGGTGATCAAGCCAAGGTCAGTAGCCAAAGGCAGTGGCGTAACAATCACCATAGCGACCCAGGCGGTCGCTGTGGGGCCCGGCCAGATGCCGTGTGGGCCGCCATGGGATCTTCTGCTGCTGGCTTTCACTGGCGTCTGAAGACGAACACGACGCTGTTCAGATCATCTGTGCAGCAGCGCGTTCGTCTCCACAGTCAATGAGAGCCAGCAGCAGCAGGGGAGCAGGCTGGACCCGGTGTTCGATCAACGTCGCGAGCCTCTGACGTCACCGGCTATGGTGGGCTCTGCAGGGTCACCCTCAGGTGGAATCTGGAGTGGGCTCTGCAAGGGGTATAACTAGAAATCACAGGGCCCCATACAAAATTTTGCTATGGGGCCCTGTGATTTCTAGTTACGCCCCTGGCCAAAGGTATCAGGTTTGACGTGGAAGGCGATAATCGTAGTCGCTGAATCAGCAGCCTTGGGTTGGTACACGAGTAGCAGTATGAGGAAGTCGTATCACAGTAAGAGCAGGAAGTAATACTCTGCAGCATTGCTGCTGCCAGATCTTCACATACAGTTATGTTGATTTCTTTTTATTTACGCTGACATTATGGACAAGTTGCTATAGACTATTTTGTAATGAGAATGGAATCATTTTCCTGGAACTATTGGCATCATTATCCAATTATGGGCTTTTGTTTTTAAATACTTTAAATGTAATGTGCATACTCACATGGCTTTCTTTATATTTACAAAGCAAATGAGCCCTAGCCATAAGAGTCTTTAGAGTATTATGCTGAACTGCTCCCAGTGTGTCTTTCTGGCTCAGCCTGCACATCTCTTTTCAGGACTACAAGGCCATTTCACAGTTGCAATCTGATGCATTATGCTAATGGATCTACTTTTACAGAAGTTATTGTGGTGCTTTTGTGGCACAATCAGACTTTACTGAATGTGATGACAATTTAATCTAGAATAAAATGATTATTTTCATAAAATACATGAATATGTACTACTTGTACAAAAAAATATGGGTTTCTGTTTATCCTTTTGTGTAATAATTATTTTATTGTAAGGCAGTTATACATATCTGACTACAGACAATATCACCTCCCGTGTGTTTACAAATGGCGCAATGTGTTTGCAGCTGTTCGCGTCCAAGTCCTATTTAGCTAAACAAAGTTTTCCTGCTTAATCGCTGGGCGGGCTTGTAATCTCTGCCTGCGACCAGAGTTAAACCCCCCCCCCCCTAGTAAGGTGCCGAGGGCGGCCGAAGCTTGGCTTGCCTAGGGTAGCCAAATACATAAATACACCACTGCAGGTAGTGTAATGTTGGTTTCCTTTTATGCAAAAGGGAATTGTTTTATTGCACAAGGCTAGAGCAGTCTGTTTACCTCTCTTTTGTTTTTTTAATGATAGATCTCGGATCTCATCCAGGAGAGCACCAATAAGACCCCACTTTGGGAGTTCCTGAGTCTCGGCTATGCACTGATGCTCTGCCCATTCGTTGTGGTTTTGGGGGGAATGTTTTTCCTGGCTACAGCACTTTACTTTTTGGAAGACCGTGCCAAAGCTGAACAACAGTAAGTTGACTTATCATGTTATGTTTTTGTTTGGTGTTCAGAAACAAACAAAGACCTTTGTTGAAGCACGGCATTATATTGCTTCATGTGAAAACATAATTCTGCCTGTATCAGCTACACCTGCAGCTCTTAAAGGAGAACTATGAGATGAGTGATTTCCACTCACCTCATAGTTCTAGCCGACCTGTGACAATGAGACTGTCACAGGTCGGCTCAGTAGATCGGGAGGTGAGCGAACATATACCTGCGTTCGCTCACCTCTCGATCCTGTCACGGCTCTCTGCAGTGACAGGGGAGGGACTGGATTCCCCCCTCCGATCCGCCAGCGCTGACTGGCGGAACGGACGGGGTGGGGGTGGGTACAGCTGGGTCTGCCTCTAGATAGGCAGAGCCAGCTGTCACTCACGCAGCTGGGCGGATTTCGACATCGATGTCGGGATCCGCTGCGGCGTCTCAGTATACCGCGAGCTGTAGCTTGCGGTATACTGCGCTTAGGGTAACGGGAGGACGCTAGTTTGTGTCCTCCCGTTACCCTAAGGAGAACTATGGGGAAAAGCCCTGACCCCATAGTTCTCCTTTAACCAACATTAAGGCTGGGTTCACACCTAGGTGTATCGAATATGCGCGTTTTGGGCCACGCATTTTTACCACGATTCACAAATGATTTATTATTTATTGACAAATGCGTGTTTACGAGGGCTACCTGGCTGTATCCCAATGGATACGCGCGGCAAATACGTCCCAAAGAAGCGCATTCCTACGCGCTGTAAAACGCCCAGGTGGGAACCATGCCCATAGGCAATCATTGGTTTTCACATGTTGAGCGTTTTACAGAGCTTAGGAACGCGCTGTAAAACGCCCAGGTGTGGACCAGGCCTCAGAAAAAAGACACCAGCCTTCAAATTCACCTTATTTATTGGTTTAGGTTGAAATTTGAGTGAGAATCCCCCTAAAGCTTATTCATTCATCATTACCAAGTTTTTGTTTGACTTTAATTTTTTGCAGTTTTAAAGCAAAGCTGCAAGAACATTTTTCACAACCATCAGTTGTTGGTTGGTATAATTAAACTTTCCTTTGGCCCTATTTTAGCTGGTTCCATTGCAACCAAATCAATATTTGGCTGACATAGGCCTCATAATTCTATAGATAATTATACTAAATTAAAATGAAGTTAAACATTGAGATAATTTATTCATATCTGTTCTTTCTATATCATCATTAGTGGTGCTGCAGGTAACATCTGGTACAAACACCAACCATACTTATATTCCGATGCCCTTGTGAGTGACATTTGTTTGGATAGATTTAGGGGGTTATTCACTAAAGAGCCGAATGATCCAGCGGTAGCTTTGGCTGATCCTTCGGCTCTCTTCGCCTGCCTCTGCACTTTGTTTCATTTAAACCGAAGGGCTGCTGTACAGGCTATTCACAATAGCCCATACAGCAGCCGAGCGGCTTAGCCGAGCTGAACCCAAAGTGACAGCTGAAGCGTGGAGAAAGGTCGGCCGAAGGGCCAACCGATCTCCACACAAATGACAGCTGGGCGGAGCCAGCCATGATCTCACGGATCGCTATGCCCATTTGTAATGATAGATCAGGGTCCCCAAATGACCTGGGGACGCCGATCTGTCATTAAACAATAACAATTGGGCAGAGCCGACTGTGACGTCACGCTTACCTCTGCACAGTTGTTATACATTGTCCAGGACCTGCTAGAAGACTCTGGCAGGTGCCGGCCAATAGGAAACAGTTGGGCGGAGCTAGATGCCACTGCTGGCTCCACCCAATTGTTTTTCTTTTGCTGGAATCTTTGATGGCTTTTTAAAAAAAAAAATTCTGTAAACTATTTACATGTTTTTTACATTTTCCTATTTTCTGAAATTTTTTGAAAAAAATTTCAATTTTTTTTTATTCACCTCATTTTTTTTCTATTCTGCTCAGTACCTTGGAGGTATCAAGCAGAATAGCCGAGCGGGATTCTGCTCGACGGCATTCGGCTATGCACTTACTGCTGTTCGGCATGTTCTGCTGACTGAAGGCAGCCGATGTACGGCTTATTTTAGCCAATGTACGGCTGAAATCAGCCGTATAAACCAGGAGTGAATAGCCAACCAGCGTTCGGCAGCTTTGTGAATAACCCTCTTAGTCTTCCACAGCATTTGTCAAACAATGGAATTTCATTATTGTTGAATATTATATTTTTTTGTGGTGGTAATCTACAATTATACTATTGATGCATTCCATTACACTAGCAATTTGAGATGTTTATAATTGTGAAAATGTGGCTACCATGTATTAAATTATCACAATAAGTATATGCATCTGTTGCATGAAGGTAACAAGATAACCTGCTTTGATTTATGTTTTTTGTGTAACCAACTAATCTCACTAAAGTTTCAAACTTGGAAATAGTGAAAAGTAAACATTCATGGTTTGTATGTGTTAATCTTAGTAAGTTGCTAACTACTTTTCACTAACAGAAAGGTTTAACAGTTGCACTACTACCACTTTGGCTGTAGAAATAACACACTTTATTGCTATATCAGTACTAATAATTGTGCTGCTAATAATGCTGTTGGGCACCTAAATCTCTGCAAGGATGTAGAAAACTATAAAGCCAGTGTCCCAATATAGGAGAGTTTGTTGGGAATGCTTAATCAGAGTACTACATGAAGGAAATTAAGTAATAGTTTACTTTTCTATAGAGTAGAAAATCAGTTTAAAGGACATATTGTAAAAGCAATGTGAACCTGGAAGATGGAGGAATATATCCTGATAAAGTATTAATTTATTGTTCTGTTAAGGAAAAAAAAAGCAGCATGAACATTTGCTTCCAGTCCAGTCAAGGCAGCACTGCTTCCATAATTGTCTAAATTAGAGATTGAAAAAAAGCACAAATATATGGTCCATTATAAGTCCCATCATAGAGAATGCTGAACATTTGCTGAATGGGTTGGACAATAAAACAATCCATATATATGGTTACATATGTTAATGAATCAGCAATTGCCCAGTATACAGCAGTACACAAACCTAGTTTAACCACACAGTTTATTGATCTTATAGAAAATATTGTTCTCTTTCAGTCAGGCTGAATTGAAATGCATTACAGACAGCTCATAAGAATAATGGCTTCAGTTCAGTCACCCACCTTTTAGCCAACAGTGGACAAGGCAAAAAGACATTTTAAGATCATATCCCCAGGTTACCTGTACTTGAGTTGAAATCAAATGTGTTCCTACTTCACTTTGCTTTTCGCCTGATGAAGGGACCATGTTAGGTTTCCCGAAACGATGCTTTATGCTTGTGATGCCATGTGTATCTGACATCAATAAAAGGACAGATTGATGCATGGGACCTTGGTGTGCGGGTGACTACTTCTTTCCTACTTCACCTGAGATACTTTAATTGTTCCTTGTGCTACCCTTTGAATTAGCCTCCTAATAAAGAGCTGGCTGAATATTTGACAGCATTACAAGTTTTACCTTTCTAATTATGACATCTCTTTAGCACAATAAAGAACATATGAGTCAGATTAAAGACCTTTTATTAACTTTGCTTCTTGGAATATCCGTAACTTGATTTTCATATATTTGGAAATAGATTTCCATATACCCAACATCTGTCTGTTTTCATATAACTCATGTAATATCCGTATGCATGGACCACATATTTAACATAAACATCATCCATTTGTGAGTCATCTGAAGGAAGGATAAGTTGGTGGGAGAGCTCGAGAGGTAGTAAAAGCTATTTGGCTAATCTAATTGCCTTGCCATACCCCATAGCAACCAAACTGACTTTTTTCCTTTTAGTAATTTAAACAAAATAATAGATGGTTGCTATGGGTTATTGTACATTGCTTTTCATCCAATAAATAAAGATTATATGTGTTATTAATCTGATTACAGTGCCATGTGAACATATAGAAAGCTGAATGCTTAGAACAGAATCTAGCTTCTGCTTGGATGACACTATAACAGGCAAACAAAAGCAGTGACAAATAATTGAATGTTCCCTTGTCTTGTGATAGTTGGCCTGGTAATTCTGATTAAAATAGTATGTGTCCTACATTAAAAAGGGTGAATTTTCTTTCCACTAGAGAGCCTTGCTCAGATTCCTTCACTGTTGGCAGCTGTAGTGACTCAGAAGAAGCCTCCATCTTGTAGCTTTAGGTTGGTTCCATTTTTTGTTTTGTTCTTTTTTTGTTTTATTGCATCTCATGTGCAAATACATTTTAAAGGACATCTAAACACGAAGTGCATGTTGGTTTATGCTAAAGAGTATGTATTAACATTCACAGACAGCTACACAAAGGATTCAGGAACACATTACAAATTAATGTATCTAAAATCAAGGTAGTTTTTTCGGGTGCCCTATTCCCCAACAAAGAGCTAACTTCCTGACCTGTAAACCTCCAATAAGCTCATATAAAATGCTGCAGTTAGGCTGCCATTGCAGATAACTTGGGCCTATACATCAAAACTACATGTCATGGCACTGAATAATTTAAAGGCAAACCTACTGTAACTATGCAAAATTGGGCAAAGCCTGCAACTGCATTATGTGCATTTAAATCATGCCAGCAGATTATTTTTGGTTTTAATGTAGTAGTGTAGATAATAGTCCAGAGGCTGCATTTGACCTGCATTGCAATTCTTCAGGTGCAGCATGTGCTTTTGAGGTGTGTTTGGAGTCCATGCTAAGCAGGACAAACACAGCCTTTACTTGTCAAACGCTGTGTTCTTATGGAGAAGGTTACTTTTGACTTAAATGCTTGTCTACATGAGCTCTATTTGAAAATGTCCGAAAGAAAAGTTAATACAAGAAGCCATGGCCAACTATTATGTGAAATACTATTATGTAAAATTTTCCGATTAATCAAATTTTTTTAATCGATTAATTTCGATTATAACGCACATACAGATCCAACTACATTGGCCTATACACATACAGCACAGCAATGAAGTAATAAAATTAACTAGGTTCACACTAATCCAGCACGTTATTAATCTCACATGCCCCACTCAATATGGCGGCGCTTGAGTGGGGCAACTCAGAATAATAACGTGCTGGATTAGTGTGATCCTTGTTTTCATTTTATTACTTCATTGCTGTGCTGTATGTGTATAGGCCAATGCCTTGGCTGGCGCTTGTGCAGAACAAGTTTCTTGGGCAAACTCACCGGCCCAAGTGGGTCACGGACATCGACGTCACCGGACTCCTCCCCCCTTCCCTTCGTTAGCCGACGGAGCCACTTGGGGAAGGGGGGAGGAGTCAGGTGACGTCGATGTCCGTCACCGGATCTCCGACGGGACTCCCAGAAGCCGGCTGAGAGGTGAGTGATCAAAAGAATTTTAATCGATCAAAAATGTTAACGATTAATCGGGTAATTAATCGTTAATTTCCACAGCCCTACATTTTATCCAAAATAATTGCTGCTTTTATAAATTAATATGCAGCCAGATAGTTGTAGCTCCAAACTGTGTTACTGCACTTCATAAATTGTGTACTAGCTGCCATTGTCATAGACATGCCCCTGCAAGAAGCCTCATGGAGTCTACCCAGGTCTTGATTTACCATTAGACACAGTAGGCGTGTGCCTACAGGCAGCAGTGAGAGACAGATTGCTGTTCCCTGTATAGGTATCAGCCACACAATTTCCCCCATCCTCAGTAGAAACAAAGTCATCTCAGATAAGCACATTTACTCATTGTCACAATAATTCAAGCGAGTTTAGGACAATAAAAAACAAGACAAGTACTTTAACAGTGCTGCAAAAGGGGGTTACTTTGGCTGTCAATGGTTGTGTGCCTACAGGCTCCAGTGATCTAGTTTGGAGTAAGCCACAGCACAGTCCTGTCATTCTCCAATCTCCAATGCAGGTTGTATGTGTGTGTACATAACACATGATTTATGTTCTCGTAGGTCTACCTTTTGATTACATTGATGGCTTGGTATGTAACCTATACCCAAAATATACTACATTATAATACAGGAGAATAAAACGGAAAATGTAATCATACTTACCATCATTTTCTTTTCCTGGTTATACTCCATGGCAGCGCTGACAAATGGGTTTAGATCCAATTACCCCTAGCTGACAGGAACCAAAAGGGTTAAACAAGGCCTAACCCTCTCTATAAAAGCCCCTCCTCCTGCTGACTTCCCCAGTCTAGTAACAAGCTAAAAACTCCATAGGGTGGGAGCGGTAACATAATTGAATGCGAAAAATAAATGTATCACTCGACTCCAAGTCGAGAGAGCAAAACACTTCTACCGAAGTGGTCATTCACTGCAGCCCTGACGTCCAGTCGAGAATGCTAACAAAGGTAGACCTAGACACCCATGTTGCGGCCCTGCAATTTTGATTCACCGAAACTCCAGCTGCTGCTGCCCATGAGGACATGGCCCTTGTGGAGTGAACCCCAATGCCTTTTGGTGCCTTTTGCCTTTTGGTGGGGAGACTCCCGCTGTTTGATAGGCGTTAATGATGGTGAGCACAAGCCATCTGCTTAATGAAGTTTTGGCTGCTGCCAATGCCTTCCTGGCTCCTGCCGTAATCATAAACAGCCTTCTGGACTTTTCCCAGTCCTTACATCCTTCCACATATGTCCTCAGACACCGGACTAGGCTCAAACATCCTTCCATCCCTTCTGAGTTGAGAGCGGAAAGGATAATATCCTGATTCACATGAACACTAGCATGAACCTTCGGCAAGAAACCTCATACAGTTCTCAGAACTACTCTATACTCATGAAAAATGAGAAAGGGTTGACCACAACCACAGGGCTTGGAGCCCCGACACCCTCCTTACCTGAAGCCAAGACTTCTAAGGAGACCATCTTGTATGACAAGAATTGCATAGAAATAGACTGTATCGGCTCAAAGGGAGGTCCTGAAAGAGCCTCCAAAACAAGAGGAACATCCCAAGACAGATAAAGAAGCCTATTAGGAGGATATACTTTACTCACCGCCTTCAGAGACTTGGAAACGCTCCGATTCTGAGTCCACCGGATCCCAGTGATGGCTGATGTAGCTGACACATGTACCTTGAGGGAACTAAGGCTCATCCTTTTGTCCAGACCTGTGTGGAGGAACCCCAGGATCGCCTCAGATGAGATTTGAGAAAGGACAATGCCGTGGTCTATTGCCCATGTGGAAAACACCATCCACATGCTACAACATACAGAGGAAGTGGACACCTTCCGGGATTTCAAAAGCATAATCAATAACCTCCTGTGAAAATCCTTTTTCAGCCTTCCCATTTCAGCAGCCAGGCCGTCAGACAGAGGTGCTGAGGATGCGGGTGCTGGACCGGCCCTTGAGACAGGAGATCCGATGTCACTGGGATCTGCCCCGATTCCTGAATGTTGAGGGACATCAAGAGAGGGAACATGGATGTCTCGGCCAATGTGGGATAACGGCAATAACCACCACCTTCTCCCTCCACATCCTTTGAAGGACTGCTATGATCATGGTAAAGGGGGGAAAGACATAAGCTATTTCGTAATTCCATGGATGTGAAAGAACGCCCTGGCCTTTCACTCTGTGATTGAATATTCTCGACAGAGATCTGCCAACATAGCAATTCTTTCGAGACACCATTAGATCCACCTGAGGATTGCCTCATCTTCCTACAAGTGTGTCGAAGATTTGTTACCTGTATTTGTTCTTGGAATACTGTAGTGCCTGGAATACTGCCTTCAGCTCTAGCAGAGTGGACGAAGTGTTCCTCCCAATCTCCGTCCATAACCCTCTGAGCGAATAGGTTGTCCACGTGAGCTCCCCAACCCGATCCGCTTGCGTCGGTCCCCACAATGGTGACCCACAGGGTGTTCCCTAATGGAAAACTCCTTGCGCAGATTTTTGTCTTGAGACCACCATTGTAGGGACACCTTGACCTTGCAGAAAATGGGGATCCCCCTCCCTCTTGTTCCGATACCTGCCCTGTTGGGAAAAAACAACTCTGCAGGTTGCATATTCTATTGGGCTCACCGAGTAAGGCCTATGGTTGATGACATGGAACCCAATAGGCCCATGAACCACTCGGCTGTGACATGCTTGCTTGTTTGCATTGTGCCCACCTTCTGTTTCATTTGAGAACTCTGTCCTTGGACAGTTGAACCGAGGCTAGATTTGTATTGAATGCCGCTCCCAAGTACACAATCTCTTGAGTCGGCGTCAGGTTGTCCTTCTCCATTGTCAGTAACCATCCACATCTCTGCAGGGTGTCTATGCTGATCTTTCTGCTGGAGATCACCTCTTTTTCCAAATCTGCCAGGATTAGGACATCGTCAAGATAATGGAAAACGGTACCGTTTCCATACCTATTCTACAACGGTAACCAGAATTTCCGAAAAAAGTCCTGGGGGCGTTGCTGAGCCCGAATGGCATTGCCCTGAATTAAAAATTCCTTGACCGATACAAAATCCTAGGAACTCCTGCTGATCTGGAGCAATGAGAACATGGAAGTACGCATCCATCAGCTCTATGGACATCATACACATCCCTGGATGTACCACTTGTATGATCGTTTGGAGGGACTCCATTCTGCACTTCCTGATGCGGATGAATCAGTTAAGCTGGTATAAGTCCAAGACTGGCCTCCAACCTCCTTTTGCTTTGGAAGGTAGGAACAAATGGGATAGAACCCCTGGAACTCTTGCTGCTCGGGTACCGCAGTTATGACATCTTGGGATAGAAGGGAACCCCCAAAGTCAAACATAGCCCGTTTCTTCATCAAATCCCTTGGGAGTTTGGTCACTATGAACCTGCCTTTTGGGGAAACAATCTGAACCCCAGTTTGTATCCCTCGGCGATTATCTTCAGTACCCAAGCGTCTGCTATTGATTCTGCCAGGAGATCTGAGAATAGTTATAGTCTCAC